TTTCAATCAAATTCTCTAATATTCATAAGCCAAAACCTATAGAACAGGCCTAGGCCTACACAGATTTCTTTAATTCAGCTTCACAAGTAGATAATGCAACAGTTTGTTGTTACAACTTTTCCAAGATATAAGGAAAGTATAACCTGTAATACTACGTCTATCCCGTCTGCATCACATAAACCAAAGTTTTATTGGTACTTCTGATGGATTGTTCCCATCAAATACTTTAACACATAAGCAACGGTAAGCATAAGTCTTCTATTGCAAGCTGCTGTATCATGTGGGTTACATGTTGCTACGGTAACTTATTCTAAACTTATTCTGAAGAGAGTGGACTGAAGTACAGTGAGAATGCAAACAAAGGTGCCTTGATCAGATTCAGAATGGACGGTGGTATCTTAAATCTCCAGCGTCTCAAAGCCCATACTAAGGTGTCGTCACTACTTCTGCGTGAACTACTCTTTGCAGATTGTGCATTAATTGTCTACACTGAAGACCTAAAAAGTATCCTGAATGATTTTGCCAGAGCAGCTCAACACTATTATGGCCTCTCCATCAGTATCAAGAAAACAGAAATCTTTTTCCAACCAAAACCAGGCAGCTTACCCCATAAACCAGTAATAAAGATAGGCGATGATCAGCTGAATGTGGTGCAGACGTTTTGCTACCTACTGTAGGTGGCTTCCTTTCACAAAATGCTTGCATAGACAATGAGATCATGTCACAAATTGGAAAAGCAATGGCCAAATTTGGAAGACTGCAGCATAGATTATAATAATAATACTGTAATAGTGTAGTTTTATATAGTGCACATATCCATCTAATGCAAGATTCTCAGGGCGCTTGATATATGGACTAGGATCTCGATCAATGACTTTCTTCGCCCCTAAGGGTCCCTTTGTGTCTGTGCTACCCGGTAACCCTGTACCAGCAACTGTCATCGTCCACTACAGGGGTTGTCTGTTACAGTACACCGGGGTATCCCCCTACTCGTCTCGAAGGATGTACTGGGTTCTTTATAGTACACGAGCCATTGTACACACTGGGCCTACGGTTTATAGTCCTTATTCGAGAAGACTTGTTCTACCACCAGAACCATAGGCGAGAGTACCGTTCAAACCTGCGCCGATATTTTGGCTATAGCTTGCGGCGCACCTGCTAACCGCTTGGCCATTCTACTCGCCATTATGGTCAAACCATGCAAGTTGCATCAACACAGATTGATGTCTCTTGGACGGTTGTATTAACAACACTCTTTTACGGCAGTAAGTCATGGACTTGGTACCCTTGACATGACAAGAAGCTAGAACAGTTCCACCTATGATGCCTCCGCAAAATCTGCAGCATCTCTTGTAATATGGTACCCAACACAGATGTACTTTAATGCTGTAAGATCGAGGGAATCGAAGCATTCCTCATCAGGGGTCAGTTACGCTTGACCGGTCACCTATACGCATGGAGGATAACCGAATACCAAAGGCACTCTTCTATGGTCTTCTATGGGGAACTAACCAGTGGACAACGAAAAGATCAATATAAGAGGTATAAGGATGTCCTGAAATTCAACCTGAATGGCTTCGATATCCCCACCAGCAATTAGGAGAAACAAGCACTCAGCTGCTCAGGATGGCGATCCATCTGCTGTGCTAGTGTAAATAAATTTGAGGATCAGCGCATCAACCAACTCCAAGAGACACGCTTAGCCTGTTACGCTGCTTAACGCCAGCCAATTTTAAACGATGACTTTGCTCTGTTTGTCAGCGTCGCTGCCATTCAAATCTCGGCCTGATCAGCCACAGCAGAAAGCACAGCCTGCAGCACTGAAGTCTTTACATTTATCCAAAGCTTTCAATAATAAT